CCTGCAGTGCCTGGTAAGGACTAAGAATCCAGGACCTGGGTTACACCAGTGTGATGAAGCCAGTGGGAACACTTGGCAATTAGGAGGATTTAATTGGTCTTTGTGCAGATGAGCACAGCCGTTCGTGCATGGGCTGCTGAGCCACAGTTACTCTGCTTGCACACGGGGGCAATAGACTGCAGCTCACCCTGAGTTAATTCGTGTTTAATCCATCATGGGCTGCCTGTATGTAAATAACTACCCCTCAACTTCCTATCTAAAGCCATGGGGTTTTGTTGCTACAGCGTCGAGGCAAATATGATACAGCTTTGCAATCGTAGAATTATAGAATCATTAAGGTTGCAAAAGACCTCTAAGATCATCGACTCCAACTGTCAAACCAATCTGAAGCTGCAGCCCACGGACAGCAAGAGGGTACAAGCTTCACGCTGCAGATAACCTGACATCCTACTTTCCTCCCAGCCTCAGGAAGAAGAAATGTTTGCACAGAAGTATGCAGAGCCAGCTGGGGAATACACTGATGTGAGCAATGAGCTGGCAACTCTGTTTCATATACTTTTAAATCTACCCGCCCACTGTGCTAAGAAATATGTAAAATCCCACAAGAAAGTAAGACTTACTTTCACCATTGCCTCAATTTCTCCCTAAAAGACCAGTTCTGTTACCTGTATCCAGCTCCCCAAAGAAACAAATTTGTGATTTATTTAGACTACAATGTGAAAGAATTGAAGACGTGTGCCATTTTCTCAAAGCATCAATATTTAATACCTTTCTTGATAACCTAAACTGTGGGTTTCTCATTCTTTGACTTCAAAGCATTTAGTGGCCTAACCCAGTACATCACATTACATAATCAAACTTTTTTTAATGCTAAACATTATCTCAGAAAGTCCTCAGCACGTGGAATGCAATACCACAACATTCAGGCCATTGAAAATATAAATCTGTCTGGCATCCCTTAAAACACAAAATTCCTGGCCTTAGTCCTGCCCTGTAGACGACCTGACATTTCTTTGCTACTCCAAACTCACCTGCTTTGAAGGAGATATAAAATGGCCTATCAGATTCAAATATTTAGGGGAAAAAATATTAGTGTTTTGAAATGCCAGAAAAATAAATACATTCAAGGAGAAATAATTTAAGCTATCCAAATGTTTTGAGTGCAAAACCAACATCTGAAAAAGAAGGTTACAGATGCCATACATGCTCTGAATACTGAAATCATCTTCTCATTGCAGAATGGCAGTGGAGAAATAAACAAAATGTTAGTTTTTATAGAGACAGGAATAGAAAAGAACACGGAGATTACAATGCCTCTAACTAACACACAGAAATGTGCTGACCATGCAGGTCAGGTTCAAGGTGCAGCTCACACTTCCATGATGTTCTAACAGGGACAGAAATAGAGAAAACTGCTAGGAGTAGATAGAGGGAATGGGAAATAAGAAGGAAGGTGATAATATCAGAGCTGTTTAGTTCAGAGAAGTATAAATATAGTTAAGGTCACATTGGCTGCTCCCATTTGCTGAGATAATAGTGCACCCATGCAAAGGAACAGCAGTGGATTTAAAGGTGAGGAAAAGAGGACCTGATTATAATTCCAGAATTTCTATTTAGGCTAAAAATCTAAATGGACTTGCCATTTGAGATTTGATATTTCATTACAAATAAATTATTCTCTTGGTTAGTTAAGAGCTACTGCTATATGTTCTTGCTGGTGAGAGGCATATTGAAAGAGACTGACACCATCTTTTTGCAGGATACTTAGAGTTGTCCAGTCCAATTGGAAAGTTTCTCCCATAGCAAAATCCCTCAGCGTCATCCCCACCCCTATTTTTAAACATAAGCTCTTCACACACATTTATGTAAAAATAAAATGGGTAACAGGAATTAACACACACTGCAGCTTTCAGAGCCCATATTAGGAAACACTCACAGTGGCCAAATCAATGCAACAGCAGTTTTGTTCTTAGAGGAAAATCAGTGTTATTCTGATCATCCTCATTCCTACTACTTTTATCCTCTTCAACATATACTAAAGGTTCCTCTTTTAAAAGTACAGGAAAGGAATTCAGAGGCATTTCAGCTACAAGGAGAATTATACAATTTGCCACATTTCTCTTGCTGGGAAAGAGGAGGGTAAAATCAGCACCACGATGCTGTGATACTGCTGCAGCAGCTTTGTCTTTGTTTGGCAAACCTCTCGACTGATAAAACTGTACCATGTCAGAAACTGGCAGTAAAAGCTGGCCAAGGTCTCTGTGCTCAAGGGAGAACAATGGAAATGCCTCTTATGGTTCCTACTTAATTTGCTTTTCCCCACGCAGGATGGAAGGAGGCAGCTGCTCATAACCAAGCTTCTGAAGTGCCAAACAGCTTCAGTCCCCAAAGTAATTAGTGGAACTAAACAATTCTACAAGAGGGTCTGAGACTTTCAAACCTGGTTAATATTGTATTTTTTCCCCCTGGAGTTGCATGTTCAGATTTTCTGCTTTTTGTATCTTTCATAGTTCTTTACAGTGTAAATGTTATCTCGCCTTTGAATATGAAGGGGTTCAATGATGTCACTGGATGGGTCATTTCTAACTAGCAGGCTAATGTCCACTCTAAAAAGACCCTGTGCTTTTGCAATGCAAAGCGTTTTTTAAAGATTATTGCTGTTAAATTACACCTGGAGGTTCATGGAGATCCCTGGAAATTGTCTTTGACCTTACAGTAACCTTGTGCAAGCAGTATTAATCATTATTATCTTCTATATTACCATCCCCTGTTGCCTACAGCAAAACTAACAAACTCCAGATTACTGCCATAGTAAACGAACGATCATCGCTTACATTATAAACATGTTATTTTAACAAACAAGATCTGAGCATATTGATGTGAACAGAATGCAGTCAACATCTGTAATGATCATTCTGCTTCAGCTAACTAGTGGCAAATAAATAAATAGTCAATAAACTACAACCCCCCCAAAAGCTTTTTTGGGAACTTCTGGCGAGAAAATACAGAAATCAATGCAGAGACCCTCCCGTGTGTATTAAACTTCCCTTCTTCAGTGGAAAGGACAAGCTGTGCCTGTTGAAGCAGGCTGCCAAGTTGGAGAAGCATAGCAATGACAGAGGACCACACTACAGATCAATAATGCAATTTGTGGAAGCCACGGTTTGGGTTTTGTACTGCAACAAACCTGCAAGGGGAAGCTGATTCTGTTTGTAAAGCGCTGGAAGGAGCAGAGAAACAAGCAGCTACTCTGATCAGTGGGAAAACTCACCACAAGTAGTGTGGATGGTGTTTCTGTATATAGAGATGAGCAGACTTCAGCAGTTGGCCTTAGAACAGGTGTTTTTGCATCCAAATTACAGGAGGAAAGTTGTGTTCATACCGGGTGAACTGCTCAGTTCGCGAGGAACACTGCTGGCACTGCCATGCACAATATGTCAGACTTTCAAAGCTTCCATTTCCCAGTCACCACCACCTAATTTTTTTCTTTTTTTTTTAGCAAGCAAAGTCTTAGAGAACTGGTAGTTGCCATAGACACATCAGCAAAGACTCAAAAGAAAGATAAGGGAGAATATGACTATCTTTGAACCAGATCCCAAAGGGAATCAAAGCTGAGGCTGAGGTGACTCATAGACACACAGAGAGAAATCAGCCAAGCTGGCAGGTAGAGCTGGAGGAGCAGCCCTGATGCAAACACTAGCCTGGATGCAAACACTATTATCACCTAAGAACAAAGATTTAAGCTCACATAAAGATTCAATACCTTGGGCACACCTCATTTGGTTTCGTGAAATGGGGCTGTTTAGATACAAATAGAGTAGGGTCCCTTTAAAAGAGCTTTCTAGCAGAGGACAATAAGCCCAGTAGTTTTTTTCTCATTAAAAACCTCATTAAGTACAGAAGTCTGATTTTATCTCTCTCATATTATCTATGCAGTCATGTTTATCTTGGGAACAAATAGATGGGACTGTTCTGCTGTGAGACATCTGTGTGCAACCTTTCACCCCATCATTATTTTTATATTCAGCACAAAGCCCCTTTTTCAAAATGATGCTTTGGGTTTATAGAATGACTTCCATCCCACTGCCTCAAAGAACATTATTCTAATTGCCAAGGGTTTGTTTATGCCTATTTTGAGGAATCAAAGATTTTCATTAGCTGATGAGACATCATGGAAAATGGGGTCCTACAGAACCACTCTGGAGCACAGCGTGAACATCACTTCTTTAGCTTCTATGGCCAGGCAAATGATCAAACCTTAGAAAGGACTTTAATTGCTCCACTAAAACCCCTATTTTGATTTAAGTTTTGATTAACCAGAACAGTAAAAAAGGCTGGGGATAGCAAAAGTCATAGAAGATGTAAGACATCACTGCCATTTTCTCACCCCCTGGTTTGCTCTCCCTCATCCTCCTCACCTGATCAACCTCCAAGAGCCATGCCAGGAGCTCTCCACTCCTCCAGCTCCTCTCAGGGGTGGCATCATTCTTGGCAGAACACCTCCTCCTCAGGCTGGATGCCTCCTCCACTGTGACCCAAACAGCTTGTGCATTTCTGCAGCCAAGATCATCTCCCCGTGCAGGCCCACAGCGCTTCGTGCCTCCGATGTGTCTCAGAGCATGGGAGAACAGTGCCACAGGTGAAGGGACCATCCTTAACTGAGCTCCCACTGCTCCCTCTGCTGAGGAAGCAACTTTCAAAGCATCCTTCTCACACCAAAGGAACTTTGCTTAAATTAATTGTCTCCATCCTTTTCAGGAATTAAATTAAACTGGGATCACCAAGCACATCCTATCAGCTTTAGCTTCAGGCATCTTCACCTTTTGGTAATTTCTAACGGCAAAGGATGGCTCAAAACATGTGGCTGTTAACACCCTTCAGATCAAATCAACAACTAATGGAAAAACAAAGGGAAACCTTCTTCATGAGTGACACTTCATCTTGTCCCATTTAACAACGAAGACAGACAAGAATGATACCATTGTTCCTTTTCATATCAATTGGCAGAAATTATCTTTATTAGAAAAATGAATTTTTCATATATTTACAATTTTTACATCATGTTATACTTGGCACATGTGTTCTCCTCAAATAGTTTTATATACATTTCGGTACACACAGACATTCAAGTCCCCCATTCCCTTAATGTTTTTCTACATATTTAACAAAAAAAAATGAACACAATACAATTTGTAAGACAACCATAATAATTATATATTTCTCTATCATAAAAAGTTTGAAGCAAACATGTTTTTGTTTTGTTTTGTTTTTAAGATATGTTTCAAAATATTTATACAGTATTAGCACTCAGTCATGCACTGGGTTAAAATATGGTCAGGGTGAACTGCAGTGAGACAGTATGTGTAACACAGGAGAGAAGTGTGTGGATCCCAGTTCCTTCACGCTGCACTGGGTGCTCTTGGGTAGCTCCAGCTACCACCAGGATCTCCAAGGCAGGGGCAGAAGGGTGCAGGGGTAGCCAGGTGTACCTGTATCTGCACAACACCACAATAAAAACTGTTGTGTGCGCAGACACCTGCGTGTTAAGATTCATCTCACTTTGCTAAACCTACCTAATAAAACAGGCAGTAATTGGAATGTCAAAACTAGATTTTAAATATTCTCTTTTTCCCCAAAACCCTTCCTTTTGAAGAATCCATTAGACTGTGAATTTACAATGAAATTCTGGATTCTCTTAAAAATTAATTATTTTATGCTTGATTCCATTTCAACAATATTATTTTATTTCTATTCTAATATCCTGATTGATTTCCCCAGGTGTTAAGAGCTCTTGAAACCTCTCCTATTCTTTGTTAGCAACTGGAAATTTGTGACTTACCCTTTGGTTTGATATATGACACTTTGAGGGTGTTACAGTAAATTGCACTAGTAAATAACAGATGTGATAGGCTTTTCAATTTACTGTGTACAGTCTTAGGTTAGTGCTCCCTGTAACCAGTACAAATTATTACAATTGGAGTTCTTTTCCTCCATCAGAAAAAAAACCACTGTTCCAACTGTACTAATAACTAATTTTCTTTGTACCAAAAGCCTCAGTTAATATTGTGAATTCTTATTTTCTTAGTTGCATTTCATTTTTCATACTTCAACTGCAAAGAACTTTTAATCAAACTCACAACAGCAATACATCACTTGAAACTGTTAATAAATGATTGTAGAATCTTTGTCAAAATGTTGGATTTCTGTCTTGCCCCTCAATCACCCCAAAAACTTTATACATATACATATATATATAAAGCTTATATATAGCTTATATATATATATAGACATGTATATATACAAAGACTAATCAGGACAACACATTAAATTGACATTATTCAAGTAAACAGGTAAAAATGTTTTTTAAAGTGTAATTTGAGATTTAAAAATATTTCTGGTGAGTTTTGTTTAGCAGCACAGAAATATTAGTTTTTCATCTAAGCCCACAAAAATCCCTAAACAGGATGAAAGGAAGCACAAAACACCCTTCAGGTTTAGTGTAAATTGGAATCTGATGAACTAAACGTTATTAACTCACAGGTGAAGTGCTTCTGAGAGCCTGGAATGTATGGATGCAAATTTTGCATAAAAATGGAGTACTTAGTTAAGAATCAGGTAGGAGTTTGCCTAACACATTAATGAATTCTGTTTGTACCTTCTGGTTTCAACAGGGAAGGCACGAGATGCACTGTGCATGTGGGTGTGAGGTGTGAAGACAGAGGGATCAAGCTGTTCTTCATCAGTGCAAAAGGGAGGTTCTGAAGTGAGTAAGACTATTTCAAAATATTATACCTTCTATCAAGAATAAACTGCAAACAGTTCTTCTTGCAACTGCACTAGTTTCCTTCCTAGCTGCACACAATTTTATGTGATGCAATTTCTGCACCTCTGCAAGACGAGGTTTGGTTTGGGACTTTAAAATCTGAGCGTGAACTGCAGTAAGGATCTGCTCTCCCATCACTCACTCACACATCCCTATTTAAGTCAAAAGGTGTTTTGCCTAAGTTTGGAATCCAGACCTAGGCCAGGTAAAAATGAGCTAAACAAAAATGTTCTTCTTGCAGACGAAGAACTTGAAACCAAGTTGTTCTCCAAGACACACTTGGAGAAGCAAAGACAAAATCTGACTCCACAGAACTTACTGTTTAAGGTGGAAAGAATCGAAACTCTCCCTTGCAAAAAATTACTTCCAACACATGATTCCAAGCTATTTTTTTTTCTTTTGTCATAAGTTTTAGTTAGAGAACTACAAATGTAGAAAAGCAGCCCAATAACACAATCATTCCTCGGTGAAAATCTCCACATCACCAGCAATAGCAGGCTCAAAAGCTTGTGCACTCAGAGAAGTGATTCTGCCTTAACCACCACTGCTAAATCCTGTCTCTGTGTGCAAAACTGATTTTGGAAACTGCCCAGTCTGCATGGGAGAATACAGGGGCAGCCACTGGTGCACACACCAGCTGGGCTTTCCTGGGAATCTGGTTCTTGAGGTATCCTTCCTTCTCTATTTTACGGAACGTGGATGATCACATAAGCTGACACTGTGTTTTAAAGTCCAACAGATCCTCTCTGGCCAAGATTTTTCCAAACAGTATGAGAAGACATCTTTTTCCTATGGCTTTGTTATTTATAGTGAGCATCAGTTCCAACTCCTCTGGACAGAAACTCTCCTCTGACATGTTTCCACGTGTCCCAGCACAAAGCAACCCTGATCCCAGTGAGTCCTTTAGCCCCTTCTGTAATAGGTATCAAACAACTACAATAAATGCTGCTAGAGGGTTTGGAGGTTTGGTATGTTTGGGAAGGAGAGAAGACAATTACTTAAAATAAAGCAGTGCTGAAATGTGTCCCACAGCTCTGGGAGATTACTCACACATGACTGGGTTGGGAAGTGTATGCACGCACGCCTGGGTATACTGTATATATATTTAGGTTAACAAGTTTAAACTATTAATAAACAGCTTTTTATGGTATTTGGTAATTAAAATATCAGGCTTGTGTCATTCAAAATAGTGCAACCTACATAGCAATATACAGGAAAATTACACACATTGTTCCTATTACCATTAATATGCTTGTGCATATCAAGGTGACAGGATACCCTTTTCCATAAGATTAACCTTTTGCATATTTAATTGTATTCTTTGGCCCATTTTCCTGTGAAACCTCGTATGAAAGCAAAGGCTTTGGCTTTAAAAGAAAAAGAAAACTCCTATTTTTTCAGTTACTTTCAGAAACTTAAATAGAATTCAAATTAGTCAAAAATTATCTCCTCCAGAAACTGCACACCCTACAGCCTGTTACAGACACACACCCCCGCCCTCGTTTGGCTAACTGTGAACCTCCAATTTCTTTTTATTTTCACTTTTCAAGATCATTTACACTTCAAATGTTGCACAACACATCCTCCAAAATTGTCCTCGACTCCTCTAATCTTGTCCCAACTGGGAACAAGGAAGGTCTCCTTCCCCAGTGGCGTGGAAAGGCAGAGCAACCTCGTGAGGGCCTTCGACTGCACCACTATTATAGTCCGAGTTCAGGGTTTGCAATGTGAAACAGAAGCCAAAATACATTTCCAAAAGGTTTTTGCCATTAAACACCATTATTAAACAGGCTTAAGAAAAATAATTATCAGACAAAAGAATCCTGTAGTAATGATTTAAAACAAATCTCTTCAGAATGGTCATTCTTATGTACTGTAATGCACAAAACAAATTTAAAAATGTATTCTCATAACGCATTTGCTGAGAAAAACATATTTCTTCTAATAGTACTAGAAGTGCAAAACAAGACATTCTCCATTAAAATTTCATGTCACTGTAAATATTATCATTTTCCCACATTAAAGCTTAGTACCATTTCTGAGAAGTGAGGAAACCTTCTTCAATTCCCAAGCAAAGTATCATCTCACTTGGAACTTTACAGTGCACTGAATAAGTATCACAATATTTATTGGTATTTATTTTCACAGTTTTATAACGTGCACAGAAATATAATTTTTGAAATATATTAGTGAAAACAAATACTAATACAAAAGGGAAAGGACAAAACATCTAGGAGTATAACTGCTTATCACCACTACTTTTTAAGAGTTGGAGAGTTGAAACCATCTCTCTTTTAAATATGTAATATATATTTAGTGTGGTTATCTATTAATAAAGGTATTGCATGACAATGTTACAGCATGGTTATATTCTCTACTAATTTAGGCTTGTTTTCATTACAGGTAAAGAATTAAGCAAAAGGAGTAAAAATTGTCATTTAAGCGCAAAACAACAAAAACCTGGTAAATAGTGAGGTAAATACTTATATTATTACTGGTTCTTAAATTATAGATATGACAAAATCATCACAAAATCAGCAGTGGATTCTTACAGCTGTTAGAATGGCAGTTGTTAAAAAAAAAAAATCCAGTTTCAACTACAGCAGATCCATTCTGCAGTATGTAACAAAAAAGCTCATGAACCCACGAGAAGAACTAAGTGCATTTTCACTGCATTGCAGGGCGATGCACACCTGTGTATTCCTGACTTCCAAAGCTGCAGGACTTTGGAAGAGCACATATTTTTGGAGAGCATACTCTGCACACAGGGCGGGAGAAGCAGGGGAGAATAAAAAACAACTAAAAGCTTGAGTGAGGGAAATAAATGAGGAGCTTATTTACAGAGAGTGCAGTAACCCTCCCCAGCAGGGCTGGGAGAAGCAAGGCAGCATTGCTGCTCCCATAGAGCAGGGTGAGAGACACCAGAGAGCACAACCAACCAGCTCCCCACCCCACAGACACGGCTGTGACACTGCAATGAGGGTGGACATGGCATTATTTCCACAATGGAAGCTGAGCATCGACAGGAATTTTACACTTTGTACAGTAGGTGCACATCAGACAGAGACTGATCAGAGCAATGCAAGAGACAGGACGGTCCTGAGGCTGCTCCCATTTAACCACAGCTTCACAGGTGACTCCAGCCTTTCCTCTCTCACACCATATACCTGTCTGTACTGACATCTACATCCACAAATACACAGCTGTGATTAAACTGAGCTCCCTCAGTGACAGCAAACGCTAACATGTTGCTAATACATTGAAATAAGACAGTACAGGTGAGTTTGGGCAGGGAAATGACTCATACTGTAAGTCATACTTTAAAAGGCCTTTATGTTCTTTCAGAAGTTCCTTCAGCACTGCTACGTTTGGAAGGCTCAGCTCTCTACAGGAAGTTAGTTTAGATTAAAAAAACCCAAACAAACAACAACATTGATAAAGCAAGGAACTTAAGTGTGTCACTGGAAAACTGTTTGTACGTTGCAAACCAGATTGCCCTACACAGGAAAGGTATCTGCTCTAAAAGGACTTTTGAGCTAAGATAGGGCTAGAGCTGGGAAGTGTTATTAAGGGAATATATGACACTCCATCTTGAAAGAAGCACGTGATGTGACGATTAACACTTGACACAATTTAGCCAAGCCACAGATAGTTACTTTTTATATTAATGAGGAGGGGATTTTGCCATAAAAGTTCTGTTTTCACTAGGTTTTATATATCAAACATCTTAAATGCAATGTAAAACAACAAAAAGATCCACCCCTTGAATTCTTCCTAAACCTAAGCTTAGATTCGTGACACCATTTCTGCTCTACGTTGATGAACCCAGCAAGGGAGGGAATAGAACCAAAACCTTCCCCATCACTGAAGCACACGTGCTACACTGCAGAAATACAGAAATAGTAAGTTATTCCACAAGGAATAGATTCTGACAGTTTTATCTCAGGCTGGATAGTTATTACATGGTATAAAGCAAACAGTGATCCTGACCAGGGAATACTGCAAACCCCACAAACAACTACTTGCTTGAGCACAGGAACCTATACACACCTCCAAGGTTGAACCTGGTACTCACTTGCAGATTTAACTGGTACATTTTCTTGAGGCTGGGGATAATATAGACTATTGCTTTTCTAAGCCCACCTAACTGAGATGTCTAAGTTAGGAACCTATACTTTCTAAAAAGGTCAACATAGAGAGGTAACATCTTTCTGGACACATCCCACACATATGTGATCCCAAGCCCTCAGTCCTCTGAACTTCCATCCAGAGGGAGTTTGCTTTCTCTCTCTCTCTCTCTCCCCCCACTGGCCACAGACAGAGCTCAGCCTTCCAGCACAGAAACTCAAAGCTACACACACAGTTCTAGCTTTTGCTTCATTTAAAGCTATGTAAAAAAAAGATGTATTTTCACCAGGAAAAATAAGCCACACCTGATTTCCCTTGTGAGCCTTATATCACCTCTTAAGTGTTCCTGAAAGATCATAAAGAGACACGTATTTATGAGATGCTGCCAAAACACAGTGAGCTGGCGGTGATTTCGTTTCTGTTTGTCCACAGCACTCTTTCTCCTAACCAAGCTTCTTAGATAGCAGAATAATGAAGTCTGAGCAAAAGCTGCAAAACCAGTAAATTAAATTTTCCGAAAATGCAAAATCTCTTAATTTTCCTTAATTTTATCTTATATATTAAAATACCTTATTACCATGCGTTTAAATTAGTGGGTGGCTACACTGCTCTAAGAAACACAAGCAGAACACAAAATCCATTTGAAAGAAAAAAGGAAAATTTACTGTGGTGAAAAGGGAAAGACAAAAACATGAAGAAATTCTACAATATCTTTAAAAGAGAAAAAGAGCAAGAGGCAGGTATGTCTATGTAGCTGTTTTTACCTCCATGTACCTACTGCATTCCTCAGCAATTCAATATCCTGCCTCCATAAAAGGTGTCATCCAGGAGCAGTGGACACTACAGGACATGCTACCAAGAATGGCCCATATCATTTACAGCCTGATTCAGTTCCAGCTGGAGTCACAGGAAATCTTGGTGATAGGAATGACCAACAAACTGCTAGAGCTGTAATCAGGAAAATGTAACAAGTCACCAGCACCATCCAGAAAGGTACAGAAAGGATGGCCACTTATGCAGGAAGATTCTTTTCTCCTCTTCAAGTATAGCAGCAGCTAGAGTGAGAGAGAGGGAAATACAGAAAGTCTTGATCTCAGTTTAATTGAAAGTCAGTGCAAATATATCAACAAAGCTCAGGCAAAATTCCGAATTCCACGCGCTCTATGGCTGAGCCTCACAAGCTGTGGCTTGTGGCTCTACTGTTGAAGATTTTCCTTCAACTTCTCAGCTGCTTCTTCTTTACATGTAAACATCTTCAACCAGCTACTGCCTACAGCTCTACACTTTATTCTCTCCTTCCCCCTTCACTGACTCATACTTATGCCAAGATCAAAACAACAAACGCATGCAGACTCCCTCTACTTTCATTATCTGGTGGGGTTTTTTTCCTCCTTTAAGGCAGCATCTTTTATTTCCATGTGAACAACTGCTGTGCAACATTACCAAGTCTTCCCTCTGTCTCTTTGTTTTGGTTTAGGGGAGTTGGTTGTATTGCATATTGCAGCTAATAATAATAAATCTCTACAGTCACCAGAAATCTGTTCAAATCAGAAAAAGCAAACACTGCAATATATTTCATTATAACTAATTTGCTTGTACATCTCACAGAAGGATAAACCCACCTGGGTTGAGGATGTTTACAATTGAATCTCAAGAGTTTATAGAGTTTAAATTAGAAAGTGGAAATGGGAATTTTTCTTTCCCATAACTTCACATACAGTACTTGTGTATATATTGAATTAGGTGTGTCTGGTTGGATAGAGATGATGATACAAAAGACTTGGAGCGACCAACAAATATTTTGAGAGCTTTATGATGATACAAAAGACAAGAGCCACCACTGAATTTCATGATTGGTAAAATGCTCAGCAATTTCCATGGCAGTTTTTGGCACGACACCAGCAAATATCATATCTGCTGAAATACAGCACACTTTAGTAAATATACCAAAATTTGGATCAGATATTAAAATTTGCCTGAAATACTTTTATTACACTGATTACAGCATTACTTATGCCTTCAGTGCATTTGTTTTCCTGCAGACCTAAGACAAACATGTCTATGTCTTTGGGAAAAGGTTTGGGTTCATGATAAGTAGTGTTCATCCCATAGACACCACCCTAGCCCTGCTCAGCTCATACAACTATTCCTAAGAAATATGCATGGCAGGTAAGGAACTTCTGTTTATAAAAATTGCCTCCAGTGAGGAACCAGAAAGCATCCCATGTGAATCAGGGCCAATAATTATGACCAGATGCTGAATAAAGAATACTCAAAACATATTTTCACATGGACAGTGAACAGATACCCATAGATATGCTTTCTGAACACACTTATGATAAAGCTTACTGAGATTTCTGGAAGCTGGAAAGAGACTTGGAAGCCCAAATCTCATTACATTTCATTCCTTAAAAATATCATCCTTCACCAGCACGGTGAACATACAAATACATTTGCAAATACCAATAACTCATTCTGGACTGTTTGGTAGTCAAAGTCAGCTTGAATCTTCTCAATAATAACAATAATTTAAAATTAAAAAAAAGCTGTAAACAATTCAAAAAGCTTTATTTTGACTGTCCCTATACATCATTTATATTATCTCCCATTTGCAACTCTGCTCTGCAGTATGCTGTTCCAAATTAAACACCTTGCATACTGCACCTCTGGCATGCAGATACTTCAATTGCAGCTGACAGGCACAATTCTGCTGAAAGGAGTTTCAGTTTGGAGAAGAGTTTGGGTAATATTCACATTTTCCAATTCACAGTGCTAATGGTTTCCCTGTTCACTGTTCTTCAGTGAAATGGAGGGAAAAATGCTTCAATAATCTAAATTTCCTCTACACAAAAATCCTAAAGCAATTTGCAGAGTAGCAGGAGAATGGGAGAGCACCACCCAGTGCAACACTTTCAGCAGTTAAATATATTAGCAATTATATTTACTTCTTCAGTTTAAATTAAATTTACAGCTGTATATTCTACTCCTGAAAGGCTTCCTCTCTTCTCTTTCACGCTCCCTTATGGTTGAAATCTAGTGGTTTTTTTTTTTCCAGTGTAAGGAGGGGTGTGTAGCAGACATTTTATTTGTGAAAGAACCTGATTGACATTTACTAAATGGAAAAGTCATTTAACAATGCACCCCTGTAATGTGAATATCTTTGTATATCAGTTAGTGATAATAAACATACTGTTACTTAGTTAAGTGTGCATATATTCAGTTTATATAACAGACTTGATTGGAGAGGTTAAAAAAAATGGTCTGATGTTCAACAAATATGCACAATATTCTGGAAGGAAGAAGTCCTTCTGAAGGTGTTAATCCTTTGCTGTGTATGCAAATAAATGGTATTGCACTCCTCACTGATTACACTGAACTTATGGCTGTCGGTGTTTGATACTGTATTAACAGCTTTAATACTATTAATATACAATTAATTAGTTGTCACTAATACACTATGAACAAAGAACTACAGTGGGTTGGGATTTGGTTTGGGAAGTGGAAGAATAAAAGAAATACTATACAGCCCTGAGTAATCACCAGTAAGGGGCAAATGCAAACTTAGGTACACATTAGGCCTCAAGGTTACTAATAAAGTCCACAGCTCCATAGTAAGTGCCATATAGTGATATCTAAAAATATATACTCTGGATTAGGCAGCTGTGAATTTCTGACAAGATTACTGCAAACTTTTCAATGAACTTACTTTGTAATGGTAAGTGCATGTGCAATATAAGAAAAGCATTTGTACATGAACGTTAACCAATATCCATGGGGCTTCCTTTTGGTACACAGCAGTTCACATGTTTGGGGCTACTGCCTTCCCATCTATTGTCTGTCAGTCTAGAATGAACATACTAATTTTGTGCTAAAACACTGTATTTTACTTATTAAGGTCCTGGGATGTGGGTTGGTTGGTTTGTTTTTTTTTTTAAATTATTACTTGGCTTTGAAAATGATTATGAAGCTAACATATATTTTTGAAAGTCTAGCTTTCTGTTCTCTTTTAGAGTCTTACTTTTGAATCTGTGCAAACGCATTCCTAATTCTTGTTGTCTGTGTCATACTACATGCATACCATATTGCTTATCCAGTACTAGAAAATCATTAAACATTTCTAAGGACAAAAGTACATTGAATGATACTTAGCAACATAAATTAGAATAACCGAAATAGTAAAAGAATTAGATACAAAACAGCATAGTTGCCAACATATATTGGGGCTATTTCAGTACAACTTGCCATTTATATATACCGCATATATAAATGGCTAATTTTTATCCTTTTCAACAAGACATATTTTAAAAGGATAGTTAAGAGCATACCAGTTTACCTATTCATGTACAAAAGTACATTGGGAAAGGGAGAGGTTTACGTATCATTTACCAGGGCAGGATACTGTTAAAGGATAAATTCTCCCTCTAAGATGGTGGCAACTATTCTTTCCCTATAGATAAAGTGTTCATGGAAAATTTAAACATCTGATTCAATGCTAGGCCTTTTCTTATACACACGTGTATTGCTACAGGAATTTAAAACCCTTGGAGTTGTGTACAAGCTATTCCTATTTGCAACGTAAGGCAAAACATGCTCTGAAATGTACATGTCATTATGGATCCGACCATCCCTGGAAGAGTATGATGCTGTAGACTGTATGGATGACCTTAAATAATTATCATTTCTTCCTCTTGTTGGCAATGAATGTTTATAAAGGTCAGCTGGACTTCGCCTAAGAGATAAGTGCTGGTCATCACGATACGAGTGCAGAAAGGGATTGTCATCCGAGTGAACAGCATACAGGGACTTGCTCCTCTTACTGTCCTCTAGAGCATGAGTTAAAAGTGAGGCCTTGTTGCTCAACAGTTTGCTTGAGGGAACACTAAACATGCTTGCATATGGACTACTTTGAATAAGTTTCTCTCTTTCTTTCAAGCTTATACTACGAGAAGGTCTTCCAATATCAATTTCCCTGGACTTATCAGCGATATTATCAAAAGAGTGTTGCCTGCTAATCCTCAGTTTATTTTTTTTATGATATTGCAGAGCATTACTTGTTGACCAAGTACGCTCATATATTTCTTCAGGAAGTGATAAGTTCGTTGTGTCCTGCAGCATCTGATCTTCATCAATGTCATAGAGGTTCCCCATCCTCAAGCAGGCATCGCACTTGTAGGGAGATCTGGTCGAATAGTGTCCCGCATAAGTGGGCAAATTGGAAAGACAGCTCCTGCAGTGGGTGGAATTCTGTCTGTATCTATCATCAGCTAGGGAAGCATTTTTCTCTTTTAGAGTGTAGTGCTTTGCATAAAGTTTATACTGGTCATTGTTTGGAAGACTGTCTTCGTTATGCATTGGAGTCCTATTAGCGTGCTCGGCTTTCCTGAAGTTGTCATTGTGATCTTGATAAACATCGGGAAACTCCACAGTTTCTGGAAGGACAATGTTTTCGATGTACTGAGGTGTGTCCAAGCGGAATCCTGGCTCCTTGTCAGCATCAATCGTGTAGATTTTATCCCGTGGAGAGCTCTGCTTGGTTTTTAGATATGTCAGTTCCACTTCACTACAGTCTTTTGGGTATTTTGATGCTCCTGTCCTTTTTTTGAAGTTGTCCTTGGTTTTGTGGTGCTTGTTGTTGTTTTCAGCTTCCATATGGCAAGTAGCTCGGCTTGATGTCTCTGACACATCTGAATGGACAATCTCTTCAGGAAGGTATCTTTGGCTTTTCACTGAAAGCTGCCTGTTTTCCTCTGACCCGTCATCCCTCTGGGAACCTTGGCTCTGACGTACAGACTCTTGACGTAAAGATTCAACAGATTTCCTCCACAGCTGCCTAGGTCTGGAGTTCACTTTTGCTTCTGTTGTTACTGCAACCTCTACTGTGTTTGGATTGGATTCATTCAGCGTGAGAGGATGCTGACCTTGGAAAACATAGTTGTTAAGATTGTCCTTGTGTCGATTGCCAGGAAGTGTCTGCAGTTCGCTTATGTTGTCACCAAAAAAGTTGTCCTTTGTCTGAAAGGATCTGTTATCAGCAAATATCAAGTTACCCTTATCCATGACCATGTCCATAATCAAAGAACCCCTCTGAATAAAATCAGCTGTTCTTTTGGGGGAGTCAATTCTTGAAGGATTGATATTGGTCATGTTTTTCGCTGTTCGCAGCAGTTTTAACATGTTGGTTTGTGAATTGGTCAAACTAAAGTCAGGAGACTTCTTTTTCTCTTCAATGTGTACTCCATGAATGCAGCTGTAAATACCCTGTAATATGAATAATATAAAACAAATTAAATCACTAGGTGTAAATTTTAAAGACTTCCATTCTATTTTTAATTGGCAATAAAGAAAAATTAAACATTGCTTAACTAATTACTGGAAAGATTAAAAGTACATCTCTATCTTTTTATCATTTCCTTACACTGACATGGAAGAGTATTTTCTGCCACATCTGTTGGAATTACAAAGGAGTAAAATTGACAGTATTTCAGAAACCAGTGGCCCCTGATGGTCTCCCCAGATTATTCCAGAAAAGAAGATTAGAAGGGACACCTAAAGGTTCCCCAGTCTCATCACAAATAGAAACTAAACTTCACTAATGGATATTCTCTTATTTTAAAACCAGTGAATAAGTTTTCCCTCTGAACAAGGTTGTCTTTGGGCTATTTTATTGGTGGTTAAGGTGCTCTTCACTTTCACTGAATTGAAAAGGCTTCCAGTCTTATTTTAACTTTTCTGTTTCCTATCTTAGTACATATGAAAAAAACCCCAGCTCTTCCTAAAACCTGATTTTGAGTTCATTTTGAGCAAAAGGCTAAAGACCATCTTCTAACTCCAACCTCTTTGGTCACTCCTGTGAGTTCAATTGACATTTCCAACCTCCTGAACTGGCAATTCTATGTAATTTACCTTTGAAATAAGTACTTCCCCCCTCCACCCCGAATTGCCTAGGAGAATTTAATCTGTTAAAGGCCAAAAATATAAAGTTCAAATGTGCAGGTTAAGGTGTATATGGTTTCTAGACAATCTCCAACAGAGTAGGGGAGAGTATTCTTCATGCAGTTCCAAAATGGTCCAATCTACTAAAGAGGGTAATTTCAGCACATTTCAAAGCAATTAGGCATTTTAGTATCATTTTCAGTTCTTCTCAACTATACAGAAAATCCAGCAAAGTCAATTACCTAATGAAAGTACTATGTGATAAAAATATTATATAAAGACAAACCCCAAATAATTTGTCAAAAATATAAGGACAAGCACACATTTTCTTTTTTTTTTTTTATAAGTATCAGTTTTTTAGATATATAAATCCCCTTTGGATCTGTTAAAGTTATCACTAAAACCTGCCTTAGTGTCTAACCAGACATAAATGATACTTGTGTTTGACCTTTTCTCATATGGTTTATTCAAGTTTGCTATCAAGAAAAGCTTATAACAATATTCCACTGTATTTTATAACTTTAAATCCTCTTGCTTAAAATTGCACAAAGCTGAGAACTAATGTCTCTTATCAAATTAGTATTTATTTTGTTTGGATTTTCATGTGGAAATTAATCCATTTCCTGCATCTGAGCTCCACCATTTCTTCATCAAAATTGCCCCTTGATGTATTTGTTTTCAGCATTGGATTACTGGTTATCCTGGCACATCTGGTATTTCATACCCTAAATAATCCAATGGATAAAGACTTCCCAGAGAGTGCAAGTACATCCTAAGCCTACTGACTACTCCAGAGCATCACACTGATGCTCTAACACATATTTCAAGTGTTCAGGTGGGGAATAAAAGAAAAGATAATGTTTTAGGGACGCAGTGTTTATTCTGTCTGTTGCCTAAAGGGGAAAAATGAAAGTAGTACTGACCCTGCTGATTGAGAACAGCAATCCTGGCCTGTCTGAGCAGACTCCAGTGAAGCAGAATCTAAGCTTCCAGTAAAACAAGTGCTCCCAGACAAAAGTTATCAAACTGAGTGCCATGGCTGCTGCAAGCATGTAAAACACTCCTGCCATGTTGTCGATGTCCAGCTGGCTGCTCATGACTTCATTCTTCTCGTTGTGACAAATGCCAGTCAGCCACAGGGTCTCCAACTCTTCCATTTCCCCTGGGAAGAACAAGGAGTCAAACCAGTTAAAAAATGCAAAAAACCACCGCTTGCAGTATTTGAAAGTCTTTGCAAGTTTAAAAATACAGCACCATTTAATGCTTTATTTGTGGAGCACTGTAGACTTATCTACTCAGGAGCTGCAAATATAGCAGATTTCAATTCACAGCACCCTACTTTCAGATGTCCTCAGATTTCATAAATTACGTGGGAAGCTGGCTGCTCTAGAAAGCAGGATCTCTGGTTTGGATAGAACTTTCTTCTGCTTGCTATAACTAGTAGCACTTGTTCCAGAGAGTGGAACTGAGCTAGGAGTTTAGTAAAGAGCTGGGACAGGCTGTGGTGATCAGTCAGAAAAGCACCCTGACACTTAGCCCAGACATTTTCATGTCCCCACCTCTCCATTGTTCTACACTTGCTCATCTCTGATCCACTCTGCCCCTTCTCTTTGACCACCCCCTTTAATGACACAAGATAAATTTCACATATTCTCACAATCCTTTAAAACGTGCCATGAGGAGTTTGCTGAACAGCCACTAACCAGACACACTACTGGAATTGGCAGTATCCTTCCAAGGCAGTTCTCCTGGATTTCTCTCACTTCATTTTGCTTTCTCCCAGAGACCTGGGTGATGCAGTAACTGCACCCACATGCTCCCAGTCCTCTCACGGTGTCCTGGACACCTCCCTCTGCTCCCTCCTGGCCCTGTGGGTCCCCTGTATTTATTTCACTGATGAGATTTGGCCTCAGATGAAGGACACTATCACTTAGCAGTGGTTGCTACTGCCAACATGGACAAAGGTGTGCAAGAAACTGCCATTGTTCCTGCCAAACTTTTTTTATAGTGCATGATTTATTCATTTTCAAGCATTTAGTGTTGTTCTTAGTGGAGCACTGATGGGCATATAGACCTTTTTGCTCTCTTGGGGATACAGACTGCTGAGAAGTTACAATTTTTAATGTCAAAAACTTCACTGTTTCTAGAAAATACAGCAGGTAATACAAAGAACCAGAAAGTACAGTATTAAGTATCTTGGTGTTTCCCAGTTTAAGATACAGTTTCAATCTGGGGGAAGAATTCCCATGGTACAGATCCCCAATCCTTACCCAGTGATTAGGGAATACATTTTCAGTATTATAATCCATAAATCACTGGAGAAAATATCAGAAAAAAATGGCTAAGAGCTATATTGACATTTCAGCTACCTTCAAGCTAGACTAGAAGATCAATGACCTGCTGTGCAAAAGCATTTTGCAGGATAGAGTGCCAGGGCAACAGGAAAGCTGCAGCCCACAGATAATCTGGATGTGTGAGTTCCAACTGGAAGTGGAACACAAGACTGTGATGGAGAAATTGCTTCTCACAGAATGTGAATGAAAAACTGAAATGGAAAGGACAAGCGCTGAGGCACTTCAGTAAAGGCATTTCACAAATTTCTAAGAGATTATTCAGTCCCTAGTTAATTCTGAGTTTAATTTTGTGCTTGAAGCATGAATTGAACCTCCACATCTGCAAAAGGCAATGTGTCTTCTCCCAAATTACAGTGCTCAATCTTCAAAACACCTAAGAGCATCCCCAAAGAGGAAAGTCAATCCCAGTAAATCTTTTAAAAACTTCTAATCCAGGACAGAGGGACAATAAATTATTCATTGTAACAGTATAGATATTGCAGACATAGATAATTGGGATTCATTATTGCATTTCCATATCTTAGAACATTTGGATTTCTTTTGTTCTGCTAAACCTCAATAGACTGTTCCCCTTGTCTCTCTTTCAAGTCCTCCCCACGGTCTATGAATAAAACTCACACAGGGTACAGAAGAGAAAACAACCCAAGTCCAAAGAGAGAGCAATATTTCTGGTCTGTGCATTAGTAGCTGAAGCTCTGACAACCAGCTCTCATTACTTCCCACAGGAAAATTCACATCTCCCATGATTGTCAGGCATCAATTTGATTTGACTGCTGTGCCCTTTTACTATTCATAACAAAATTCACAAAGGAATTTAAACCTCTTTTTTATTACTGTTTCCTCTGTGTTTCTTTCCCTTTGGCATGTACATCTAAAGTAACTATTGATAATCCACCAACCTTTCCAAAAACATCCCTACAGAAATGAACTAAGCTTGTTTTGAGTGGAGATAAATGACAGTGCCCTGGCAAGCTACAAAGAACAAAGCATCCCAGAGTCTCACAGATCCTGCTATTGCAATATCCCTTCCATTACATCTGACAAGGACAGCAATCACTGTTAATTAATGCCCAAAAGGAATCCACATTTTTACAGATTGCAAAACACTACAAATCACTGGATTGTCATATTCATGTAATGATATTATCTGGGAATGGACAGATTAGGCTGGTAATTCTGGTCTCTCTATATAAAGCAGTTGCCATTTACAGTATATATTTATAAATGTGTACATTACATATTTATATACGTGCGTGGTGTATGCACAGAAACACAGACAAAACAGTTACTAATTTAACTGTAATGACACTTCAGCACAGCTGACCCTATAAAACTGGCAAAGATGCCCAATATTCTTATTGCTTTTCCTGCCCATTACATTTTAAACCAGGTTATTTACAAAAAGTCATAACATTTTTATTACAAAATCCTCAAGCATGAGAATTTTTTTTTATCTGGAGTGTGCACTTGGAGTGTCAATTCATTCCTTTTTAAAATCAGTCTGTTCCAAACTTAGCCTGGAGTTGGAAAGCAGAACATTGAACTTTGAGCATAGTTATAATTTAGTTCAGAGAAAAAACCCACCATATTTAAAAGCATCAAGTCCTCTTGGAAGAATGTTGTCTGTCAAATCCTTTTGGGTGGTCTGACTTGTGAGGTGAATTTGTAGGGTGATGACACCTATGGCAATATAGTGGGCCTGGCAACTGAAAGGCCAGTAATTTGTGATTACCAGGCACTGGAGAGTTCAGTCATCTCCATGTGTGCATAATACTAATTAGCAAGTGAAAGCTCCAAATATTCCATAAGACAGACCTTGGAAATCTCAGTCAGCAGCCTCAGTGTACATAAATGCCAGGCCTCAGTGAACCCAGTGTTAATGGAGTTCAAATCTGCCTCTAATAGGGGGGGTCTCAAGTTACTCATAAATATTAATCAGGCTTATTTTAAGACTTTTTGTTTTCACTTTAGGCATTTACTAAAAGGTATGCAGTGCCAGAGTCATTTCCTACCTTCATTCATGTGTGGACTGGTTTAATAGTTGCAGATCTCAGCAACGAAGTACATGGTGACACTAGCACAGGATTAGAAAATTAAGAGTTCCAATGTATTTGGCAAAAAAACTATAGTGCTTGTTTTGTGTTTAAGAAGTCCACATTTTATTTAACCTGAAAAAATCCCAAATAACTACATGATGCCTACATTAAGAGATTTTTAAAAATTCCATAGCACTGTATCAGAAAAGATCTGCCTCATTTACAGTGTGAGAGTATAAATATAAGCAAGTGTTTTAAAGATCCTTAGTTCAAGCAGTGCTGAGTCTGCACTCTTCACTCAAAACACATTCCAGTATATTGCAACATTCTAGTTGATTCAGGACTATTTACAATGGGTTTAGGTTACAGTACAAACAGTGCTCAGGCAGATCCCTTTGTGTTTCTCCTGGGTTTGATGCTGAGGCTCTGGTGCTCTCTGCTCTTACTGCTATTTGCACAGGAATGTGCCAGTTGGCCATTCAGACTGAATATCCCACAAGTGCCTTTCTTTCTACATTTTATCAGCCTATTTCACACCTTATCATTTTGGCAAGGTGTGATAAGGTTCAGGTGGGTCCCCTGAACAATTTTGTTACAATAAAAATATCACTATCCAGACACAGAAACCATACAGGCCAAAGGAAGAATTCCATGTTTTTCCTCACCGTGGCCCTTAGCAGGATTTGCAGGTTCTGGTGTCACCTGTCCCTGTCACCATCCCCTCAGGGCTGAGACACGCACTGCCCTTTTGGAGTCTCTGCCATTGTTTCTTGAAGATGTGTCACTTCACTGGGGTTCTTTTATGGGATTTATTGGTATCCCCAGATTCCTTTCATTTTCTAGGCCCAGTAGTCTTCTAAAGGTCTGGCATCCTCCCCTCATTCTCAGCTTTGCTCATGAAACCCCCTTCCCAAAAAAGGCAGAGTCTTCCCAGGCAATGGATCAGCCATGGGGTACTGATGGCAAAAGCTCTCTAACTTAGGGGTCATTTCCCTGATGTTATTTGTTTTCTAGTATTCTTTTCCCCTACATCTCATATGCATCCAGGAAGATGCAAACTGAAAAGGACATAGTATTTACAAAAAAGAGAAAACTTCAAGCCCACATAATCCATCATTCTCCACACAAGCAGCTACAGGAAATCAATTTGGGGTAAGACTTTGAGGTTTTTTGAGAGTTTTTCAATAGGTGGTTTCAACAGGTTTTCAATACTTGGTCCGATGCCTTCCTTCTAACCGTTAAAAAGTAAAAATTTTTATTATCACCCAAATATGTCCTTAGTTAAAAAATTGTCAGAAATAAGCAAGATATGAAATATTTTCATAAGCACTAAAGTCAGAGTTCTTAACTTTTCTTGTCTAAAAGACAGGTGTTTTTCTGCTCTACTTTAATCATGTATGTTAAAGTCACAGGCTCCTGCAGATAATCACTGATGGCTCCCAGGCTGCCTCAGCTGCTTCCTTAGGTACTCTGGAGTGGTATTTTCATCATGTTCTTTGCTTAATTTTAACCTATTTAATTATGCTCATAAAGGGGGGAAGAAAAAAAAATCTATTTTATATGTCCAATTAGTAACAAACAAACAAACAAACAAAAAAAGGAGAAAATAAAAGGAAAAAAGGATTTTTAACACTCCATGTGCTGTTGGCAAAGGATAATCTCAGGGTAGCTCAGAGTGCCAGCCTGTCCCTTCACCTTATCACTACCCAATGCCTGACACTGAGGGGCCAACAGAACACAAAAGAAAGAGCAAACCTCAAACAAACTGAGCT